GGCGCCGCCGCTGTTCTCCGCAGCCGCCAAAGGCTTCCCTCGGGTCTTCTCCTGTCGGGTCCTTTCTGCCAGCTCAGCTCGGCTCCGCTCCCCTCCCCGTGGCCCTGGGTTGGTATTTCTGGAACAAACATTTGGGACCGCCCGTGCACGGTGCATGGAGGGCCCCCGTGCTCAACAGGAGGGGGAAAAAAAAAAAAAAGAAAAAAGTTCAATGTCAATGTTTGGCTCCGGAGCTACGAAGTGCTGCTTGGGCTGCGGGGTAGCCGCTCAGGGAGCCACCCACCCCACGTTACTTGCTGCGGGGAGCCCTGCCTGGCTCAGCAGGTACACCTCAGAGCTAATCGCGTCCTGATTTGTTTTCTCCGTGTTCCTTAAGTAGCACACATTGTGCTAAATACACACCAACCTTTTTTTCCCCTGATTTTTAGATTTCTTTTACCATGTTTCTTTTACCAGCTCTTCAATAATATCAGCAAAAATGAATGTAGAATATATGACTAATGATAATGTCTGGAGAAAATATTGTTTCAAGCTGTCTGAACTGGTCTCATATCATCTATCTATGGCAGAGAGAGCATCTGATTTCCTTTGTGCAATATCAAACAACTTTAACTGTTATAGTGCCTTTTTTCTTCTGGTATCCATGGCTGTACACTCTCCAAGTTCTGAACAGCTAAATCACAATTCTCCAAATAGTTTGCTTTACTACAGTCCTTGTTCCCACAGCAGGCTCCTTCTCTACAGAAAAAAGGTGATGATTTTATGGAAAAAGTGTGATCAATCTTAATTCAGCATTTCCTGGCTTGCTTAAAATATTTTTTCTTTGTATGTGCAATTTTCTAGATATGCCTTTTAAGCAATTTGAAAAAAAAACAACAAAAACATAAATTCCATTGCACTGAAGTCCACGTGGGCCATACAGCACTGGAGCTTGTAGATCCACTGCGGATACGTGGCACTTGGGCTCATGGAGTGACTGACTGATAGCAGCAGGAGTTTGTCATTCTTTAGACCAGCACTAGAAAACTGTTTCTGACAGTCAGGAAACTCAGGCAAGGGACTCGGATTTCCTGCACTTCCTTCCAAGTTCTAGGGGGGATTGATTATGTTTTTGTAGGCACAGACTTCTACCTCTCTTTCCCAAGTGTAATTCCAGCTACATAATCATCTGCAACTTTGTATTTTTGATTCACTCCTGGTATTCCCTCCCAAATCAATAGGTCTTGCTTATCCATTAACAGTCTTACTTTACACTTCTCATCCTTGCTTTCTCATCTCCAAACTTTCTCAGCTTGTCCCAGCTCTCATTGCTGTTTACTTTTTTAACTCTCATCCACTTTTCACTGTCATTCCTTGTCCTGCCAACACCATTTGTATTCCTGATTCTTCCTCTGATCTCTTTCCTGTTATTACACCTTGGATAGCATCCCAGTCCTCATCTCCATCTCATAATTCCACATCCTAATTTTTTCACAGAATTCCCTGATATATTTGGGTTTATATCCCAGTTCTGTTGATCTGTCCCATTTCAGTTCTTCACACAGCAGGTCCATTTCCCCTTCCTCTTACCTCTTCTCCCCAAGCCACTGTTTTGTGGCATGACTAACTGGTTCTTACTTTCTCCTAGTTCTGTCCTTACGTCCTAACATCAACTCCTAGTTTCTAGTTTCTTAATTTATACAGTCCCCATCTATTTTCCTGCATGATACAGTTTTGTTGCCTACTCAGTGCTAGTTACAGCTTCCACCTCTGTTTTTCCTCTTATCCTACGTTTACCTGAAGTCCTTATTCCAAACTTTCCTTTTCTCTCCTCTGCATCTGAGTTGGAAAGTTCTGTTTTCTGTGCTGCCTGCCAGGACAGTTGCTGTGAGTTCAGCAGATGCAGGTTCCTTGCCTTTAGTTGCAGGACCAAGTGGTGAGTGGGGAAAGTCCAATTTTATGCCTGTAGCTATGAGCTGGAGAAATGAACCTACTCAGTCGCTTGATGGGAAGGAAGCACATAAGTGTGCACTGGGTACATGAAATTCTCACAAGGTGAATTATTAACTGTTTCTTCTGAACATTTATGAATTGTGGTTTTTCAGTTTTCTAACTTAGTAAACATTGGGTGATTTAAGTAGACTGAAATAGTTCTGAATATAAGCATAGGAATGTATTTTTCTGTAACTGATTTTAGAAAGAATTTTGGCCATTTTGGTTTAAAGTGAGAAAAATGGGGCAGAAAGCATGAAAAATTTCAACCTAAGCAGTCAGCTGGGTCTTGCTGTAAATACTAGATCTAGACTGTCTCGTGGGCAGCATAGCAGTAAATGATGAAGGCTTGCATGTAATAAGGCACAGTGGTGTTGAGGCACCTTGACACAAAGATCACTTACTGTCCAATGTTTTGTCCTCCACAGCCAACAACCAAACTCTTCATTGATGGGAAGTTTGTTGAGTCCAAAACTACTGAGTGGATTGATATCCACAACCCAGTAAGTGAAATGGTCTCGGTTTATATATTAGCGGTCACTGTGCAACAAGGTTCTGCGCCTCTGTTCAAGCATTTGGCAAAAGGGGAAAGTACATACATTGCTTGAGAAGGGTTTAGACTTGGAGCTTAATATGGATTTAGCGCTGTGTAATTGCTTCTCAATTTCCTTTTCACATGAAATGTCAGTCTTAGGAAAGTGATGATCTTTTTTATCTCCCCTGTGTAGTAAAACTGTGATCTCTGGAAAGGAAGCTTAAACTCCACTTACCTTTTTTTTTGCTCATAGAAAGGCTCTGGGATGGCAAATTTCTGAAGGGTTTCTTTCACCCTGTATGTGAAATCAACCGGGTGGGTTTTGATGCCAGCTGAATGTGAAGTCCTGATAGATTCTGATTTTACTTTTAGACCAAGGTAAAAAATCCTGACAGCTTCAGCTCCTTTCAGAGCTTCTATCTGTGAGCCATGATATTCACAGTGAATTTAGAGGTTGGATGCTATGCAATGCAAATTAATCTTAGTAGCACTTGTACTTGTCTGAATCCTCCACCGAAGACAAATGGAAATGAGGTTGCACTCAGAATTCTGACCCTTCTGACCCCCCTAGTAAGCGTTTGGACAGCAGTTTCTAAAACTTCTCTGTAAAGCCCTTTTTTATTTACTTCATGGAAGTGATCAGAGCAGTGAGCCATGCTCACGAGGCTTATTTGGTCTCTGTGTGGCGACCAATGTTCTTGTTTGATTTTCTCTCTCTTGTTTTGAGTAGTTTCTCTCTTAGTGATGTATTGATGTTTTTGTCATGTCAAAGCAGACTTATTTTTTAAGAGTGCATTGGAAGGAGGTTAAACTGGCAAAGACAAGCTTTTAAAGTTAAAATACTGTAGAACTAAGGTTGCTTGTAAAAATCTTACTTTGGCCTAGTGGTCTAGGTCCACTAACATCAGTGCCAATTGCACAGTCACGTCCTGCTTTTTCCAAAGGATCCTTGCCTCATTTAATGTGCAAGAGGGACAGCAGATGAGCTGAGATGATGCAGAGGGAAAAGACCACAGTCCACAGAAACCTTTGCGTTATACTCTCGAGAAGCTTCAAGATAGACAAGTCACTTCAACTCCAGTTTGGAAATCAGCATTGTGTTTGCAGCTTGCTGGGTGCCTAATTTGAAATGTGCAGAGTGCAGGTTTTCGGAACTATTCTGGTCGTAGCCCAGGCCTTTTGTGTGCACCAAGGAAGGAGTCTCTTTTGTGCTCTTCCCTCAGAAGGACAGGTCCTTGTAGAACAAGGATATTAGGTGTGTGGTGTGAAAGGACCATTGAATGGTTGACAGGGACAGATGGAAAAAGCTGAGTTTTGATGCAGTTTGTTTTTTCCTTCAGGCCACAAATGAAGTGGTTGGCCGTGTACCAAAAGCCACAGCCAGTGAGATGGAGGCAGCTGTGGCTTCTTGCAAAAAGGCTTTTTGGAACTGGTCAGAAACATCTGTTTTGAGTCGCCAGCAGGTCTTCCTGCGTTATCAACAACTCATCAAAGACAATCTGGTGAGACACCATGGCTGTGTGTGATGGCTGTTGCTGAATGTGTTGCAGTTGACTTCAGGAATTAAATTGAGAGACTCAGGGTTTACAGAGTTCTTGAGGCAGCATTGTTGCCAGGATTGAGGAGCCAACTGAGACGCTGTCCTTGAGAGGTGTAGCAAAGCACTCTCCATCAAGTGGGGACAGAGAGGCAGTGCTTCTTAGGGAATATTATTCTGCACTTGTCCCTTTACCAAAAGACTACAAGAAGAACTTTCAGCCTTGATGGAGAATGTTCCAGTTGATAAAGACAAGTGGGAGAAGTATGTTATCTTTGGATTTCCCTGATTACTTTTCCAGTGTGTCTGTGGTGTGAAACATGAAAGCTGTAGAGTACAAGCCAACTCACAGTTGTTTTTTCTAAAATGTCACCTAGTGGCTTATTGGCTTCTTGCCTACAAGGAGCAAGTTGGTCAGTGTAGGCTTTTCCATGTTCTGCTCAGTCTGTTCATTGTGATGTTCAACTCTGTTAAACTGTCTTAGCCCTGCACCCTATTTCATGGGCAGGCACTTTCCTAATGTTCATAAACTTTGCATTTTCCATTTTCAGAAAGAAATTTCAAAACTCATCACCTTTGAGCAAGGGAAGACCCTGGCTGATGCTGAGGGAGATGTGTTCCGAGGCCTCCGTAAGCTGCTGGCTCCTCCTGTTCAAAAAGGGGCTTTGAGAACCCATAGGAAGGGAGGTGGTCTCCTGAGCAACTGATTGCTCTGGGAGTCTGTACATGTAGCTCCCTTCATAGCCTCCTACTGATAGAAAAAGGGCAATTGTAATTCTAACCCAAAAAGTTCCCTTAGATAGAGTTTTCTTAAATCACTTCCAAGTTGTTAGACCCTTCCTTTTCCTAGGAGTGACTACAAATTGCTGTAAAGGGATAAGAACTTCTCGCTTGTGCTCAGATGTCCACAGTTGAGTCCCAGATGGTACAATAATACTGTACCTGTGCTTCTTTCACTGGGGCTGTTGTGTCTGTGCTGCTGTCAAAATGACATATAATGCACTCAAGAGAAAATCCATTCACAATGAGCTCACTGTGCTTGGCAGAGCAAAGAGATTTTCTGGAGCACAATGAGTTTTAGGTTGTGGGAAAAGAGGCTGGAAGAAAGACTTGGGTCAAGGCAATGGTGAGAAGGGAGTTTGGGGACTGACTGTTAACAGATCACCCAGTGGCATATTGCCCTTTCTGCTGCAGAGGTGGTTGAACATGCTTGCAGCGTGACATCACTCATACTGGGAGAGACCATGCCCTCCATCACTAAAGACATGGACACTTACACCTACCGTCTGCCTCTGGGTGTCTGTGCTGGAATTGCACCATTCAACTTCCCAGCCATGATTCCTCTTTGGATGTTCCCCATGGCTATGGTTTGTGGAAACACCTTCTTGATGAAACCATCTGAGCGTGTACCAGGGGCACTCATGTTCCTTGCCAAGCTGTTTCAGGATGCTGGTGCCCCCGATGGGACCCTGAATATCATCCACGGACAACATGAAGGTAATAAGAGCCCTCCTTGGAAGATGGCTGGAGTGTGTAAGCAATTGTGCATGTTCGGTGGAGGTGCCATTTGGAGAGTCTGATGATGCTGCTGTAGGTCTGGACAGATGCTTCAGCCCTCTCGATGGTGGTGAAGGGAGGTAACTGGGAGATTCTCTGCCATTTTGCACCAAATCTTTCAGAAGATATGGTGGACAAAATTTTTGGGGCTGGGGTCAGAGTTCCCAAGGCATGTAAGTGTTCAAATTCTATTTAGCAAACTAAGCTCCAACTGAAATAAGTAGATAAATCATCTTGGTTTCCCAAGAAAGCCTAAACAAGAATTAAATGCCTCATGAATATGCAGCGCATTCTGGTATTCTAGCTCCTAATGTGATATTTTTGACAGCACACAAGTAGCTTCAGAACACAAGGATACGAATACACAACAGCAACTTCACTTCAGCATTGCTCAGCCACCTTGGGAGATGCCCAAAGCGTGATGAGATGGCAGAGAGCCAGGTGTACGAGGTCAGGGGCAGGAGTACACATGCTGAGAAATTAGTGGAGAGATGTATGGACAGGCAATGGGGGAACTCAGATGTAGGAAACAGAGGCAAGAATTTCGTGGAAGAAGATAGATACATAGATTTAGCGCTGTGGGGATGGGATCAGAGGGAAGCATTATACTGCACCACAGTATATAATGTATTATTTCCTATTTGAAGCTGTGAATTTCATTTGTGACCATCCGGATATCAGAGCAATCAGCTTTGTGGGATCTAATCAGGCTGGCGAGTACATCTATGAGAGAGGATCCCGGAATGGCAAGAGAGTCCAGGCCAACATGGTAATGCCTCTGAATGGAGCACGCCTCAGCACAAAGACCACCTCTGTCTCCTGTGCATGTTAAGAAGGACCATGGCACTCAGCAGCAGAAGCTGACTTTGCTACTGATAGTTAAGTGATGAGGCCGCCCTTCTTGCCAGCCTCGTGTTGGTACCAGTTCTTGTTGGTAGCAGAGTCATAGCTACTGTATGAAGATATTGCCAGAGAGCTAGAGAAGTGGGCTGGGGTGGCTAATAATGGGAGACTGTGTTACGTGTTGTATTTCAGGGAGCCAAGAACCACGGTGTGGTGATGCCTGATGCCAATAAAGAGAACACCTTGAACCAGCTGGTTGGAGCTGCTTTTGGAGCAGCTGGCCAACGCTGCATGGCCCTGTCTACAGCAATTCTAGTGGGAGAAGCTCAGAAATGGCTGCCAGAGCTTGTGGACAGAGCCAAAAATCTACGGGTAAATGCAGGTACAGACTGTGATAATTTCTTACAAGGTACTTCACTTCTGTACGACTGTAGCTCTTTAGGTCAGTTATCTCTTGTATTACGGTGTGCCCCGTGGAGCTATTGGCAGCGGAGGATTGAGTAGCTAGTAGATTGTCTGGGTTGGGAAACACAGCCCCAGACTTGTAGTTAGGAATACGTAGGAAGGCTTGGCAGTATGACTGTGATGCAAGGTTTACAGGATTGGTCTTGTTTTAACTGAAGCTTTGTGGTTATGTCCGATGTTTAACTCAAACCTACCATTTCTATAGCAACCTCACTTAGAGATCCTTCCAATTTGTAGTAAGCATCCAATAAAAAGGAAAACTGGAAACAAGTACTTGGGGAAAAAATGGACTGTTCTTAACTCTAGGATAATTATCTTATGTTTAATAAAGTCCTGCAGAGGGGAAAAGTTTCCTTTCTGAGAAGAATCTGTTGTTGAATTTTGGCTTCCTGGTGATCTAAAATTATGCTTGTACTTACAAATTCTTTTCTTTGTTGATTATGAGAATTGCAGGCTATTGCTCCTGTTCATTAATGTCTCAAATCTTTGTTCCTGATGTTCAGAAACATCAGGATTTTCAGATTTATCCTGCCAGTGTAGTTATCTCCATGATGCCTGTGAAGAGGAAGCTGTCAGGGTTAAAAACTTGGCATCTCTGCCTCTTCACAGGAGACCAGCCTGGAGCAGATCTTGGGCCTCTAATCAGTCCCCAAGCTAAGGAACGGGTTTGCCATCTGATTGAGAAAGGAGTAAAAGAAGGTGCCAGCCTTCTTCTGGATGGGCGTAATATCAAAGTGAAGGGCTATGAAAATGGCAATTTTGTTGGACCAACGATCCTGGCCAATGTCAAGGTAAGATGACCAAAACCAGTGCTTGATAGTGTGTGTTACAGGGTCAATTGAAAAATGGGTTATCCAAATCAGTAAGTAATCAATCATTGCCAGGTAGATGGCCCATAAATGGCTCAGCTTTCCCTTGCACAATTCCAATGAAGTGCTCATTGGAATGCTGTTGTGGAGGTGATAAAAGAATTTGCAGGATTGCAAAAAACTCTGAATGAAGTTAAGGATTTTAACTTGAAGGGAATGCAGCCAATTCAAAGAAAAAATGGGCAGTTTGTACTATCTTTAACTGTCCATCAAACATAGTATACTATCTGTAGTAATAGGCAGCAGCAGATGCTTGAGGAAGAGTACGATGAACAGCCAGACTTGCAATTTTCCTTCCTCC